GTTCAAATCGACGGTATGTTTTTTCGCCTCTGCAATGCGTTGCAGAAGCAGCGACAGCAAGCACCATAAGCCACGGTTCAGAAGTGGCGATCATGACTCGTATCGTTTCACTGAGACAAGTACCTGTTTTAGCTTGTATGACATCTGCAACTCCAAACCGAAAAACAGTATCTTGTGCAATGTATTTAACCTTTACCTCAAAAAAATTTTTACAACATTCAACTGAATAGGTAATAATAATTTAGTCACACGATTAAAGCTCAAATCGACCGGTTACCAACATTGCACAATTGCCAGAAAGCGGCCATTCCAATTTCTTATCAATTTCGTAAGACGGTTGAAATCTCTGCTTATCATTCGAATATCACTTACACAAGCGCAACTTATGACCAAAAACAGAACATAGGCTTCAGACATTTTCCGACGGAACAAGATAAAACGGCCTTCAATGCAGTCACAACGATATCACGTATCCAATTCCATGGCATCAGATTCCTGATTGGAAATGATGTCATGGGCACCAACAGGGTCTGGAGATGAAAATTTACTGAAATCAGATAAAACAGATAAATTACAGCAAGGTATAAAGCACTAGCTTTAAATGTCTTGAAAAGGATGAGAATACTTAAATATAAATTGTTATATATACCACACTATTACTTACTATATTGTTAAATCATTCAAATTTATGTAGTAAAGAAAGACGCTGTCAAGTTTGAGTGAGCTGCTTTGCATCTTAGAACCGTCTTTTAAACCAGAAAGGATATAATGGGATCGGTCTGTCATATCAGTAAAACTGCAACGGACTGAAGCTGTTTCAAAAGCAGTGTCGGTAAGATTGGCGCGATATATATAATATATAAGAACATAAGACATTTACATTGAACAATCCGGCTCCTTTAAGTCACTCAATTATTAATGTACTTCAGCCAAATCGACTAATATTGCTGATGTTAACGTGAAACTATATGAGAACTCGCAACTGAAACAAAATCGATGGCGCAGAACTACTGCTCTAGCCATGAAGATAAAAACAGTTAAGCGCTAGAAGTGATATGCTGACATACGATGGAGTCACAGCCTGCAAAATTTCCCAAGATACATACTAGCAAGGGAACCGCGATCAGAAAAAATACGTTTTTATCGGTAGCACTAACAAATGTAGTTACATATTAAGCGTTTATTAGCAATAAATATAGGCGAACAACCGTTATCCAAGACCAAATTTCACAACGCATTGTACGTCCCCCTGTGCATAGTTGACAATACCCTATTTAAGCAGGTATCAGCTCCCCGGCGTTTGAGCACCTGCAGTGTCTGCTGCACCTGGCATGATTC